GACTTGGAGATTTTCTTCAAGGGTTGTAAGAGGAGAGGGAAAGTGAGTGATTTCTTCTTCATTACATTTCCAAGACTTCATTACATTTCTACACTTCTAAGAGAGAATTGAGTGTGATTGTAAAGAGTGAAAGTGCTTGAAGAGAACTTCTAGGGTTTTTCTTGGGAAGGATTGTTGGGAAGAATTGTGAGATAAGTTGTGTTTTCTTATTTCTTTGTTTTGTAAACTTATTTTAATATATGAAATTTGTGTTTTATCTTATCCTTCTCATGAATTCTGGGTAGTTTTCTTCATCATTCTCCCTACCCTGAGATATGATTTTGTGAATAAATGATTTTGCTTTATACATATTTAAATGTCAATAATTTTTGATGATTTGAACTCTGATCTTCATTTACTTTTTGATCTAGCCAATTGAAATGTTAAAACGTGTTGAGAGACATATGATCTGTAAGGGCTATGATTTCTACAACATGGTGAGTCACATTTGATTCCATAGGAGAAGATGTCATCCATGGGGTTAAGTGCAAATAAATAGGGAGATATACTTTGTTGGATGTAAAATTGGAGAAAATTGGAGATTTTAAAGATTTTAAGGTGACAGATTAAAATCCACAATTTGGTCCGATTGATTAGAAGCTAATATGAGATTGTTAGACCTTAAGCGAGGGAGTGGTGGAAGCTCTAGAGTGATAGTCGATATCCTCTCAGCATAACCATGAAATTAGGGACCAAACTCTAGATTAGTCAACGTTCTTTATGCACTTGAAAGATTGTAAAGAATAGAATTGCTCCTATTTATCACAAAATAATTATATATATATATATATATATATATATATAATTTTAATTCCTTCACAATCCATATATCTAGGACTCCATTAGAGCTATTTATTACTTGAACGATACATATACTTGTATTATTATTGCGGGTTTGACAGTTTAAAGATTTTAAAAGATAAAATTATTTTTTCTAAAGTCATTTTTATTTGGATTTGTGCATGTATACTTGCATTATTATTACGAGTTTGACAGTTTAAAAATTTTAAAAGATAAATTTATTTTTATTAATGTCATTTTTATTTGGATTTGAATTGCATATTTGTTATTAGCACTGTCGTGTGTGTGTTTTATAGTATTGAAAACTATTTATAAAAACAACACACAAAAATCCTGCATCATGAGGCCTCAGTCAAATTTGATAGGAGCGATTGTTATGTCCTCACAAAGCTTCCTGTATGTCCAATTTGAAGTGAAATCAAGCTGGGGTATGATTTCATTGAAATAGGTTCTCGAGTTGGGATTGGTATGAGTTTGAGGCAATGGGAATACTCAATTTCGATTGAGAAATTCTTCATGAAGTTCAGTGAAGGTTTTGGAGTGGTTAATTTGAGGTTTTGGAAAGTGTTATGTAAAACCCAAAAAACTATCATATTTTTTGGAAGGGAAATTGGAAGAGAGCAATGAAGGCCAGCGACTGAAAGTATGGGGTTTCAACCCCTTAGGCTATTGACAAAGTTTTCTCTCTAGGGTGTCTCAAGAGTTTAATTTTCATAAGATTACTTTTGAAGTTTAACAATTAGTTTAATTAACTTAATTCTTTTAACTGCATTTTATTTAGCATACACTCAGTTACTTTAGGTTTAAATTTCGTACTTCAGTTTTGAAGTTTAAATTTTATTTTACATTATACTCATAAGAATTTATTCATAAGCATTTCCAACTTCCCAGTGGGATTGATATTTAGGACTCCATTAAAGCCTTTTATTATTTGAGTGATACGTATACTTACATTATTATTACAAGTTTATCAGTTTAAAGATGTTAAAAGATAAAATTATTTGTACTAAAGTCATTTTTATTTGGATTTGAATTGCATATTTGTTATTAGCACTGTCGTGTGTGTGTTTTATAGTATTGAAAACTATTTATAAAAACAACACACAAAAATCCTGCATCATGAGGCCTCAGTCAAATTTGATAGGAGCGATTGTTATGTCCTCACAAAGCTTCCTGTATGTCCAATTTGAAGTGAAATCAAGCTGGGGATCATTTTACTGAAATAGGTTCATGACTTGGGCTTTGAATAGGTTGGAGCCAATGGGAAGACTCAATTTTGATTGAGAACTTCTTCGCAAATTTTAGTGAGGGATTTGGAGTAGTTCTATCATATTTTTTGGAAGGGAAATTGAAAGAGAGCAATGAAGGCCAACGACTGAAAGTATGGGGTTTCAACTCCTTAGACTATTGACAAAGTTTTCTCTCTAGGGTGTCTCAAGAATTAAACAATGTATATGGATCTCTTCTCTCCTCCTCCCTTAGTAACTCATGACTAGCTCTATTTATAGACATCCATGGTGTCTAGAGAGTCTAGGTTCATTTGGGGAAGGCAAGGGAGGTGGTATCTTGACCGTGGATAAGTTTTCAGGATGATGATTAGCATGGATAAAGCTTCCCATTAATTATCCATAGAGGCCTTCATCTAGGTTAAAATTTGAGCTCATATTTTGGCTACCCCCCATTGACTAACTTGGGTGGTGGATATGGCAACTCAAAGGGCCTGATATAACCTTCACCATACAAGCTCTATTGATTAATTAATGGTGTTGAGGATGGGGTGACACACCATACAAGCTCTATTGATTAATTAATGGTGTTGAGGATGGGGTGACACATACACCTCCTCATCATCATTTATTTTTTCTTATGTTATGTTCATGATTGCCTTAATCATGAGAAGGATGAGGTTTATATGAGTCACTCCTTTAATGGAGAATGAGAGAGGTGAAGAATGAGTTCATTACATCCATTTTTAAGGATTCATGAGGGAATGCCACCTCATATTCCTTTCATGATACCCTTGTGATACCCTTTTTGTTTTTGGTCATTTATTGAAATTTAATCATGCCATGGGTATTTCATGAGTCATGGATGGCCCATTAATCATTTGTTAGATGATGGTTTAGGGTTTAAGTGTAAAAATAGGATTTTTATGTGGCTATGGATTTGGCTTGCCAAAATCAATATTTTAAACTTAACCCTAGGTCTAATAATCTTTAATTTCACTCTCTTTAATTAATTAATCAAGAGAATAAAATAATTTGATGAAAAGACTAAATTTTGATAAAAAAATGATAATGTTGACCAAGTTGACCATGGTTGACTAGGGTTGACCATAGTTGACCAATTTAGCTCCAGGGTTGACCATGATGCCTTGCTTGACCATGTCATGGTTAGTTCAGTCATGGGGTCCTTGGGTTGGTGGTATGACTTGGGTTTGACTAGGATGGTCAAATTGACCATATGGAGTCTTGACCATATGGTGATCATTTAGGTCTATGTGGTGACAATAAGGTTCAAAATTGATCATTTTGACCAATATTTGGTCAATGGTGTCTATCGTTGATCAAATGGTCCAGTTTGACCAATATGGGATTTTGGAATGATCAAATGGTCAAATTTGACAAATTTAGGGTTTTGATTGATCCATAGGTCCAAGTTAACCAAAGTTGACCAGTTTGACCAAAATTGACCAGTTGGATCAAAGTTGACCAATCAGGTCAATTTGGCGTCAGTAATGACCTTATAGTCAATGTAATGACCATTAGGTCAAAGTTTGACCGGATTAAAGTTTGTCATTGCTGATCTGATCATTTTAGGGTGTCATCATATCTAAAGCCCAAAAGGGGTATTTTGGGAGTTTTTAGGGTTTTGAGGACACTAGATAAGTTCAAAGGAGTCAATATTGTTAGACCCTTTGCCTTAATGATGATGATGATCATTCTCAGGTCTTTATGGATTATCTGAGAATCTTAAGCCAGAGGGTTACTCAAGACATGTCTGATCTATGAGTGTCATTTTAGGTTCCTCCCAAAGGTTCTGATCTATGAGTGTCATTTTAGGTTCCTCCCAAAGGTGAGGCCAATAATATTATTGTTCGAATGCCATGCCTGATCGTTCAGATAAAAATCCTCACCAAACTTTGTGGTGATTAGTAAGTGTGGTGCATGAGTTTACCTAACCACTTTGGTTGGAGCAAACTTAGGTTAGATCGCTTTTGTTGGAAAGAGGTCAAATTAGTTTCTATTTTTTTTCTATTTTTTTTTTCTTTTAACTAAGGTTGACTAGATGCATTCTCTTAAGGTTCAAAATCTCTAACTTTATTTTCTCATTTTCTCCTCCTATGCACGTTGTCTTGCTTTTGTTTTTTAATGAGAATTTTTGTTTGGAAATGGAGCCTTTAATTACCAACAAGCCAAAGAACATCGTGATGCCAGAGCAACAACTACACTCATCAATAAATGTGAAGAGTACATGGCTTCCATTAATAGAACTAATGCTTGAATATAATTCTGTTGGGACCCATAAGAAGTGATGAGTTCTAAAGCCACTATTCTAACAATAAGTTGCATTTTTAATAAGGATCAATTCAAAGATCACTAAAATTTTGTATTTATATGTATTAAATCTCCCCTAGTTGATGCTAAATTTATTTGTAAGCATAGTCTCCATAACCATCCTAAGCAAGGTTTTACTGGACTCCTAAACATCTTTACTATCATTTTTATGGTTAAGGGCATCAAGGAACAAATTCTTATTCTCTTAAAAAAGCAACAAAATGGAAGGGCTCAAGCAAAAGATGAGGACTTGGTACATTTTCAAAAAGTCAACTAAAGAGAGAGCTAATAAGATCCATGGGTATAGCTAATTACTATCCGTACAACAAAAAATTTGAACGGTGGATCACTAGTCTATCAAGTATCCACAATTAATGCTCTATAGACTTTGTCAATAATATTAAGGTGAATTTGTAAAACAACATGAGTTTGGCACTATATGCATTCATACCTCAGCTAACCAATAGAACTATAATTTTGAAATTGAATCTTTAATTTTTTTTTAAAAAAAATTATCTTGTTGGCCATGCTGCCATAATTTGAAGATTTTGATATTTCCTAAAATCTGCTAGCTGATGTTGGTAGGGGGTTGGATACCAATCATGATTTAGGATTTAATACATTAAAAAGTAAACATAGAAATATATCTACTTCATAAATATCTTCCTGTCGTCATCAAACACAAGCCCAGGTCACGAGGAATTATTGCATGCGGTGTCCGATCCTGACCGTAGATCACGGTGATCTACGGTCGGGATTATTTCAGTTTTTTTTTTTTAAAAAAAAATTCGGTGGGGCCCACTGAAATACATCGGAACCGTAGATCTGATAATTTTGTCCGATCCGTATGGAATAATTTTTCCCAGGTCACACCACAGGTTGGTAGAGATACAGATCTTCAGTAACTTCACCAGTAGCAGTGTTGAAAGCCATATCCCATTTTCTATACATCTCCATTTTCTATAGAACGCCATATCCCAATCTCTGAGGTACCATCCTCTTTCGCACAAGCTCTGAACATGCCCGTAGTGTTGAAAGCCATGGCAACCTCACCAGTAGCAGAAACGGCAACGAGGCCAGCAGTACCTTTGGGAGAATGCTCAACTACATATTCAGCAGCATCTTTCAAAGAAAGACCTTTATATTCCATCAAAGCTGCCACATCCCGTCCAACGGTAGCTCGTATGATCGATTCCCCTTTACCAGTTGCTGAGACGGCACAGAGGGAATTGGCGTATGTTCCTGCACCTATTATCGGGGTGTCCCCAATCCTGCCCACCATTTTGTTCACCAAGCCACCAGTGGAAGTTGCTGCAGCGAGATTTCCTTTGCCATCCACTGCAACACATCCAACAGTACCGATTTGGCTGTCGCAAGATGACTCTTTAAGAGGTTTCTCTGGAGCAGGTTGAGTGTAATCAATCTGCAATTAGTTTGAATTTAGTAATATCAAATTTAATTCACTTTTTGAAATTTGTAATTAGATTCACAGGCAGATTGCAAAACTGACAATTAAAATGAAATATACCTGCACTCTATTTGCTGCTTTCGCTTGGGTCAGCCTCTCAATATTTTCAGGAGTGATAAAATGGCTTGCGTCTCTTGTTTCAACACCCTGCAGTGTTTAGTTCATCCAACAAGAAAGCTTACGATACCTTAGGGTTTAAACTGAATTACATTAAGTAACAGGAGATAGTTTCGCATCAAAGAAGAGATACTTGGACAGCTACTGAAAATGAAGAGCAAGTAGGTCTGAATACATCAGAAGGAAAGAACTAGCAATGCCATTCCGAAGACAGGACAAATCCACAACAAAGAACAATCCCAAAAAGGCCGAAAATATGTTGTATCGAAGTTCTCAGTACTAAAGGAAAAAAAAATACAAAATGATAATCATGATAATATTTTCCCTAAACATCTATATAGTTACTGGTGCTTGCTGGGGACATCACGGAGGTTTATCCATTTTATCAAAATTTAGCTGTGCTCGGACCTTTTATAACATGCACTAAAATGTTCCCCAGTAACATCTTAGCAGTGTTTAATTGTTTTGGTTTGTACATGCTAACTCAAGTTTCATGCCTAGGCAGTGTACTATTATCATCTTCAATCGAATTTTCGTCAGTGACTGAGATCAAATCTTGGTTTGTCACACAGATAGAGAAATATTTAAAGGAAATACGTCCATTTTGCCATATCTATGCCAACGTTTCATGACATCATATTTTGCCCACAAGTTGTTTTTAAAATCTCACATAATATAAGACAGTGAATTATTCTCCTTTTTTACTACACAGTAGGTTGTGTCTATGCCCATTCTTAACCACGTAATCCTAGAACTCATGCTACATTGCCTTTATGCGGGTTTTGTTTTGTTAGAAAATAAACAACTACATCTTTACTTAATACTTGTCAAAGTTCTGAAAAAAATAGGCTGAATTATGAATAAGTTGATTGCCTTTTTCCCTTTGCTTTCATTCCATTAAATAACAATCTTACAATCTATTTTAGGTACAAAATAAAGTGCATATAATCTATTTTAAGTAACTTAACTTAATAATAAAGTAACTTAATAATACATATTCCTAATCTAAATATTCAGCTAAAAGGGAAATACATCAAAATAAAGATATTGGAAATAAGAAAGCTTCAAATTATAGAAAACTTTTAATTTAGCTGTCTTCCTTCCTGATTGACATCCCCCCTCAAATTGATGCTGACTGATCATGAAGCATCAATTTCTTAACATGAAATTTATAATATTGTCGTGATAAAAAATCCTCAAGCCGTGAGTGCTGAAGCCTCAGAGTGTCGAAGCCTAAAAATGCAGAATTCCAAGAGTGTCGAAGCCAAAGTTTTGCAGAAGCGTAAGAATGCCGAAGCCTGAGAGTGCAAAGCCTCAGAGTGTCGAAGCCTGAAAATGCCGAAACCCAAAAGTGTCGAAGCCCGAGAGTGCCGAAGCCCGATGCCTGAAAGTGCCGAAGCCTGAGAGTGCCGAAGTCTGAGGATGTCGAAGCCTGAAAGTGTCGAAGCCCGAGAGTGCCGAAGCCTGAAAGTGTCGAATCTCGAAAGTGCCGAAGCCTGAAAGGCCAAAGCTCTATAGGTCCGAAACCTAAGAGTGCCGAAGCCCGAGAATGCCGAAGCCTAAGATCTATAGTTTGCTGAAGCCGAAGCCATCGATCTAAGAAGAAGTATCGAAGCCAAAGCTTAAGCAGATGAAACGAAGCATAAGAAGCTGTCGAAGATGTCACAGAAGCAGCAATGCCTAGCGCAGAAGATCCGAATCGGACGAATAATAATACAAACATAACAGCCTTTCAGCCCAAGAATCCTTGTTGTTTTCGCCTGCTTCTTTCCACCACCAAATAAACCACCAAACCAAGAAGAGGATGATGAAGAAGCAGCACCGACATCATTTGCCATCACAGCAGGTGGCATAGTTGATGGCCCAACCCCAATTGGCAGGAAATCGGGCGGGACTCCGGCTCCTCCACCAGCTGCCATCATTTTCGCGAGATTGGGATCATCCATAGGAGGGAGGTTATGCGGCGTGCTGAGAACTCTGTTGAGCATGATACCTGCACCCTTAAAGAGCCCAAGAAGGATCACACCGAAAATCGTTGCTCTTCCCGCGGAGGCGGACCTTGACGCATAGATAGAAAGACACCGGTAGCAGCTCCAGCGATGATAGAATTCCATGGATCCTCTCTCTGATGGACATAAACCATGGTGCAATCAAAGCTGAGAACAAGGCTCCCAAGACAACAAGGCTTCCGCCGACTTGGGGAGCGTTCATGCGGATGCGGAGAGTGTCGTGTCTGCTTCCCTTGCAAAGGCTTGTCAGATGATGGATGAATCAAGGAAAAGAAATAGTTCCTCCCTTACCGCAAGAATTTGTCAAGGTCGGCGGGAAGGGAGTCTTGAAGGTTTTCCAACGACTATCGGTGATTAGGGCAAAAGTTTGGCTCTGATACCATGTTAAAGTTTTGAAAAAAATAGGCTAAATTCTGAATGAGTTCGATCGTCTTTTCCCTTTACTTTCATTCCATTAAATAACAATCTTACAGTCTATTTTAGATACAAAATAAAATGCATATAATCTATTTTAGGTAACTTAGTAATACATATTCCTAATCTAAATATTCAGCTAAAAGGAAAATATATCGAAATAAAGATATTAGAAATAAGGAAGCTTCTAATTATAGAAAACTCTTAATTTAACTGTCTGATTTCCATCTTTCTTGATTGACAATATTAACGCTAGTATGAACATGCCATTATAAAAGCAAGATAAGGGTGCAATAAGAAAAATACAATGAGAAAGAATATCCTCCACAATGAGAATATATTACACTAATAAATATTATGAAGTCCTAAAAAAATATTAAGCATATGTGGCAACATTTATATGCTAGCATAATAATTTTAAGAACTTTAAAATCCTCAACAAACTCAGAATGTTACAACAAGGAGCATCATGAGTTTGTATAGTGCAAGAATAATTGAGAAATCCAAACTGAGAACTAAAATGTTACTTACTAGCAATTAATTGTCAAAATGCATACCATCATATATTACAAACTTAAAATAGATTTCAGTTTCATAATTTCATGCGACTAAAAAGAGAAAATATTTGATAAGATATTGATGGAATAAAAAACAAAACTTCGGTACTATATGAATATATACAAAACATCCCTTCAAAACAAAAGAGTTCTGATCCAGTTCAGTTTTATTTGAAGTTATGCCAAAACAGTATTGATTGTGCTGAAAGATTAGTATGGCAGATGCCCAAACTAGCTTGTTTGTGTATTATGCATCACACATCATATTTAAAGTTTCAAAATAAAAATATTTAACTCAGTTATTTGTTTCCACAATATCAAAAAAGAATAGAATTGAACTCCACAACCCTTGATACCAATCAAAATTTCCCAAACAAAACCCTCTTTTGGAGATTTGAAACCAAAAACAATATATGAACCTTAATTGTAAGCAAATAAGATACTACTAACCTGTTCCTTTGCAAAGGATTCAGCTCCATCAAATGCCAGGTAAATATGAGGTGTTTTCTCCATTACGAGCCGTGCAAGTGAAATGGCGTTAACAACTGTAGAAAGGCCTGAGACAGCACCACATTTTTTTGTGTTGCCATCCATGATGCATGCTTCCATTTCAACAGTACCATTGGTGGTCAAGACAGATCCTATTCCAGCATTAAAGTATGGGCAATTTTCTAACTCACGCACCTACAAAATTAATTTACAAAATCAACTCCCAAAATGAATTATAAATGATAAAATGAATAGCTAACATGAAGAAGATTTCCAAAATAAGGTTTGGGTCATGCCTTGAGTAATTCTAGAGAAGCAACTGAATACATTAGTTATATATCCAATAGAACGGATAAGAGTTTGCTAGATTCCTCAAGACATTAATATATATAAAAAATGAACGTGACTAATGAAAAGTCATGTTCTTAATTATCAGCAGCACATCACTGGGTGCTTCTAAATTTGGAGATGCTGGACATGCCACAATCCATTAATTAGGAAAAAAAAAATCTATTTTCAATAGAATTTTTTCTCTTGGTAACATCTATGGATGTGGATGAGGGGGGATGAGAATCAACAGAAAGAGGGTAGTTAAGTTAATATTTACTAAATGAAGCGAAGTTTCGACTTGGAGATATAGCTTCCTTGCATTGCAATATAAACATGATATAGCCCGGGAAAAAATCTAAAAAGCATATGACATGAATTCAAAGAATGCTTTTCTTTAAAACCCTTCAAACAAAGGTAAGCTAAGCAATAACTAAACAAAATTTCATTCTAAATGCCAAGAAAACATCTGTTCTAAGAAATTGTACATAAAAGTGAAAACATTTTTATTTGTTTTTGCTTTCTATTAAGAGCCTATAAGGAAAAACATGAAAAAGAAAAAATAAGAAACTATCTTAGCTTCTGCCACTTCTGAATTTATCGGATACCCATTGTGCAGGAATATAAACCTTTCTCTTAATATTTGCGTCAGAAGACTCGATTTCATGAATTCCATTTCAACATCAATACACGAAAAAAATATCCAAGTATCTATAAAAGACTGTCATAGTACTTTCTTTAATCGACAGAAATTCTCGAATTTTGAGTTTTTCTAGTGCTGTCGAACAAAATTGAGCCGAATATATATATATATATATATATATATAAGTTAGTTAAATAA